CATACTGTGGACACTTATTGGACTCATACTGCGTCACATGTATGTACATACAATAGACACAGCTGTGTGCACGTATATGCTATATAGCAATGGCACACATAAAATTATATACTTTCCTGTATCTATTTGAATGAAAAGGAAAATTTTAATAAGAATAGCAAAAAAGAACAAAGTATTCAAAATATTTCTGACACAAATTCAGAGTATCTTGTGTAACCAACAGAGTGTTTATTTTGGTTTTATAGGATTCAGCAAAAGAAAATATAGTAGTTCAAAATCAAACAAGTGAAAATAGAATATTTCAAATAAATAAATAATGTTTAGCATAAATATGTCCTATAGGATAATAACTCTGTATGAAATAACAACCATAGCTATATAAGGAGATCCTATCTCAAAGTAATTATTCCTAAGTAGTCATATAGACTGTTTGTGTGTTAGGTACTATACTAAGTGTCTTACATGTACTATTTACTTTAAAATTAAAACAAAACATAACAGCCATGAGTGACAGGTTGAAATTAGTATAACACTTTATTACTTTTAAAAACAGGGTCTTACTATATAGCTCTGGCTGGCCCAGTGTTCAATATGTAGACCAGGTTAGTCTTGAACTCACAAATATCTGCCTTCCTCTGCCTCCCAAGTGCTGGGATCAAAGACATGCACCATCACACCCAGTTGTAGATTTTTAAGATGGTTAGAAAATGGAGAAGGTATTCAAAGTATTTCCTACACAGATCCAGAGGATCTGATTAACCCACAATGTGTTTATTTTTGTCCTGTTGGATTTAGTAAAGGAAAATATACAGTAGACCTACTTATATTAGAATTTCAAATAAAGAGCAAATACTGTTTTAATATATAAATATGTCTCATAATAACCCTGAGTGTGGCAAGATGACTCAGTAAATAAAGGCACTACCTGCAAAGCCTCACAACCTGACTTCAAAATTTAGAACACACAGGATGGAAGGAAAGAACTGATTCTCAAGTTGTCCTCTGACCTCCACACACATGCTGTGGCATGAATGTGCACCTCCCACCACCCATGTAATAAATAAAGAATTGTTTAACATCTTTATTAAATGACCACTTGTTTTGAGACAGGTGCTTGCCCTGTAGCCCAGACTAGCTCAGAACTAGTCATATATTCCAGACTAGCCTCTAATTCATAATCCTCCTGACTCAGCCTTCCAAGTGCAGGGATTACAAGCATGCACCACCATGCTCTGATCAGAGATATTCATGAATTGTGTAAATTTTGTTAGTTTGTTTGTGTGTGTGTATGTGTGTGTGTGTGTGTTGCTGGCCATTAAACTTGGCCTTCACATGTTAAGCAAATGCTTTTATTACTGAGTTATGTATCTAGCCACAACTACTACTTTCTAATGAAGAGGGGTGACAGTCACTTTTATTCTTCCTCTCCCTTCCTTCAACATTTCTAAGAGTTGCTCCTTATTTCTTAGGCTTTTCAATTGCTATCTAAGAAAGTGATGTTTAAACAACCTCTGATATCATTTACAACTTGGCAGATTTTTCTGTTGTTAGACATAAACCCACAAGACCCCAAGCAAGGTCATAGGAAAATAATCAACTGAGACTAAATGAAATGATTTTGTCTAAGCACAAGCAAAACAAGGTCAGTGTGCCACCCAGGAAGCAATGAATGTCCCCTATTGTGCAACATAGATGACTGCCATTTTCCCAATTACAGTATTAATGTCGACAACCATACAATTGTTCCTAATTTCTGATTGCATCTGAGTTCAAGGGGATACCTATGTCCTGAGGCTCACTTTCAAATCGCCCAACTCCTCTTATGTTTTTTTTCTTGGTACTGGAGATTAAACCTGAGCCCGCATGTTAGGCAAGTTCTCTACCACTGTGTTAGCTCCCAGGCTCTTTTCTAATTTTCATTTTGAGATAAGGGCTCACTGAGTTGCCAAGGATGACCCTGAACTGGCTTTGTAGCCCAGGCAGGCCTTGAAGCTTCGACCCTGCTGCCTCAGCCTCCTACAGATCTGGGCTCGCAGGCATACATCAGAAGACCAGCTCAAACAGGTTCTTTCTAACATCCTGTTACTGAGATACTCCATAGTTTCCTGGAGTGTGTGTTTTCTTTCCCCAAAAGAAAAATAGTAAGCTCAAACTATTGATTTTGGATATAATCTTTTTTTTAAACGCCTTGGTGGCAAAACAGTTCACATCTTAATCTGCAAGCAGGAAGCAGAGAAAGAAAGCTGGTAATAGCATGACTCTTTTGAAACCTCAAAGCCAGCCCCCAGTGACACACCTCCTCCAACAAGGCCATAGCTCGTAGTACTCCCCAAATGATTCCACCAACTGGGAACCCAAGTATTCAAACATATGAGCCTATGGGGTCAGTTCTCATTCAAACCACCAAACTGATGCTACTGATGCTATATTATGTGTTTAAATTATATATTAACGTGTTTATTATATGTTCCTTATTGTTGGTTGTTGTTTTTAACACTTTTGGCTCTTTGCTCTTTTGGGGAGCCTGCCACCCAGCTCCCAAATAAATACACATGGAGACTTATTATTACTTATAAATGCCTGGCCTTAGTTTGGCTTGTTTCTTAACAGCTTTGCTTAAGTTTAAATTATCCTATCTACCTTGTGCCTCTAGGCTTTTACCTTTCTCTATTTCTGTATTTCTTTTCTTTCCTTCTAATTCTGTGTCTTTCTGTGTGGCTGGGTGGCTGGCCCCTAGCATCCTCCTCTCCTTGTTCTCTTGCTCTTTCTTCTTTCTCCTCCCAGATTTCTCCTTCTATTTATTCTCTCTGCCTGCCAGCCCCGCCTGTCCTTTCTCCTGCCTCACTATTGGCTGTTCAGCTCTTTATTAGACCATCATGTGTTTTAGACAGGCAAAGTAACACAGCTTCACAGAGTTAAACAAATGTAACATAAAAGAATGCAACACGGCTTTGCATCATTAAACAAATGTTCCACAGTGCAAACAAATGCAACACATCTTAAAATAATATTCTACAACAGTTCCTCCCATTAGCACATAAGTTTCATGAAGACTGGAATGTTCCTTGATAATAATTATATCCACATACCTAGAACCTTGACTGGCCCGAGTTGGTACTAATTAATATGTATTTAATGCATATTAAGCAACTTAATGAATAGATTTATATTGTGTTCAGTCTTATACATCTCATTCTGTCACATAGTCAGAATTAATCTCATTCTTTGGTCTCATTCTCCAATTGGATAAGTTCATTATAAAATATCCATTCTCTCTCTCTGCCTTCCTCCCTCCTCTCTCTTTCTCTCTCTTTCTGTTTGTGTGATATGTATACATGTGTAGTGTATGTGCATATATGCATGAAGGTATGTATGCATATTTATGTGCACACCTGTAGAGGCCAGAGATTGGTGTGAATATCTTCCATTATTTCTCTATATCTTATCTTTTGAGACAGGGTCTCACAGTGAACCCAGAATTCACCTAGTGACTAGACTAGCTGACCAGAGAACTCCAGGGTTACAGACCTTCCAAACTGGCTTTTATCTGGGTGCCTGTTGTGGTTTCAATACAAATGGCCCTCATATATGATCTCAAGTATTTGAATGTTTGGTTCCTGGTTGGTAGAACTGTTTGGGAAGGATTAGGAGGTGTTGGTCTTATTGGAGTAAGTATGTCACTAGGGGTGGGTTTTAAGAGCTGAAGAGACTTGGTACCAATCTAAATTTGCTGTTTCTTGCTTTTGGTTCAAGATGTGGGCTCTCAGCTTGCTATTCCAGCCACCGTACCTGCTGCCTCAGCTCAGCTTTCATGAACTCTTTCCCTCTAGAGCTGTAAGCCCAAATCAATTATTTCTCTATAAGTTGCCTTGGTCATGGTGTTTTATCACAACAATAGAAAAGTAACTAAATACACTGGAGTTTCTGCAAATTGGTGCAGCCACTGTGGAAATCAGTGTGGAGTTGCCTCAGAAAAATAGAAATAGATCTATTATATGACCCAACTCTACCACTCCTGGGCATATATCTGAAGGACAACATTTCCTACTATAAAGACACATGTGTATCCATGTTTGTAGCTACTCTGTTCACAATAGCTAAGACATGGAAACAGCCTAGATGTCCATCAATTGATGAATGGATAATGAAAATGTATTAACTATATGCAATGGGATTTTACTCAGGTATATAACCTATTCATTAAACAATCACTAACAATTACATGTAAGAATCTTAGTGCTTCTAAGGATGAAATGCTATGGAAATAATGATAACACAAATATTATTACCTTTCAGATAGGGCTCATTTGATACTGGTTTGTTTTTCCCTTCTTGTAAAATACTTTCATCCGTGTTTATGGACCTACTGAGCCCTCTGAAAAGGGAGAAACTTACCTTACCTGGTGTGTATTTGCTGCAGATCTAATGTGATCACTGTTAATAGAAATGGAGTTAATAAGGTTAATAAGTTAATAAGGTCCATTTAATATTCATGTTAATAAGGTATTGTACCATTTAATATTCGCTTAACAAGAGTTATCCGAATACAGGTTTCTTCTTAAAAGTAGACAGTGCAATTTGGCTGTCTTGTTATCCTACAATTTGAAGTATGACTTAAGAATTTTTAACGCACAGTTTATATTTCAAGGTGGCTTATCATCCAAGCAATAGGCTAACACAACAGATTTCGAATTTGGAGAAGTGAAACTCTGAAAGATTTTAAGCCCTGGGGGCTTACACAGAGTTTGAGCAAGCAAGACTAGCTTCCTTCCCACTGGGAGCAATGCTAGATGCTCTTTTCAGAGCGCAATCCCTTTCCCACACCGCATTGCGCTCTGAAAAGAGCAGAGCACTTTAAGAGCTTCCCAGTTACGGAAAGAGCCGAAGGCAGGACGTGGCGCTGAAGCCAAGCCGCCGAGGACTCGGGCTCTTCCGGACAGCCCCGGACAGCTCTCGGAAGAGGAGGGCGGCTCGCCCGCGCGCTGCGCCCTCTGTCGGCCAAGTGGGACGTCCGTAGCGGCGACGGTGGTAGTCGCTTCGACGTCGACGGAGACTGGAGCGACATTTAAAGAGGCAGCAGAAGCGCCGGGAGTCCGGCTTTTTCTTGTGGGAGGACTCTGACCCTTCCCCAGCCGGAAGAGGAGAAAGCGGCCGCGCCGCCAAGCAGGTGAGGAAAGGGCTGGGGTCCGGGCTGAGGAGTAGGAGCCCGCCTGCGCCTTCATGCCCTGGCCGCGCCTACGTTTGCATTCGCCTCACTTGAACCAGGAAGCGGCAGAGTCGGAGGCTCAGCTCCTCGGCTCTTTCTTTGTGTGGGCCCGGGAGCGCCCGAGGAAGAACCGGGAGGGCGCGGCGTGGTCCCCTGAGCTGTCCCGAGCCCGAGCCGCTGGTACCCTAGGTTAGGCCTTGGAGCGTAGGGGACCCCACCACAGCTACCCACTTGACTTTCCCCTTTCCCTTCTGCCAGCCTTTGGGGTTGGGGGTGGGGTGCTCTTTTTCCACCTACCTCCTAATTTGACTAGACTAAGCTTTGCTACAGGGCCCATCATCCTCTTCTGTCCCCAGCTCAGGACATAACAATACCTACTGCTTCGCCTGACCCCCCTACCCCCAACACTGTACCTTTCAGATCTAGGCCTTCTACTTTCTCCAGCACCAGCCCCCATCGCTCCCGCCTTCGCTCTGCTATTTGCACCTCCATCTCTGTTTGCAAGAAGCTAGCCTTTGCACGTAAATTGGCCTTAAAAAACTCGTTTGCATCTAAGTTCAAAGGAAGAGGGAGGTGGTGGAAGAAAAATAGTGTTCAGCTGCTTCAGGGAGCCCTGTGTTGGTTTGTTTCACACTTTGGCGGGTGGTTTTTATCTCTTTCCTACTTTCATCAGCCCTCTAAACCTGCCCACAATCAAAGGTTTGTCACACAATGGTAATAGGATGTCTTTTCCACAGTCAGGTTGTAAATCTCTGGGGAGGAAAGGTTTGAGACCCACTTGGGTTGATCCTGGGCCAACCCTGACAAGCAGGATGGATACCTAAACAAAATGAAACCAAATCCCAGTGTCACCTGGACACCTGCATTGAAACATTCCGACATTGGGAAAAAAAAATTGCAAATGATAAAAATCAGGTGGCCATATACAGAACCCTCTCCACTTAAAGGTGTTTTCTGTCAAAATCTTCATATTTTGGATTGTTGGTACATTGTCCAAAGGTCACACTTGATGATGAATGCCTTTATTTATGATAGCCTATAATTCCTTGCTTCTATTAAAATGGAACAGCTAATATGTTTTTAAAAATCCTTGACTTTTAAGCTTTTGCCTATAGATTGATTTTAAGTTATAATGTTGGAATTTTTTTTTAAATATAGAGATACTCTGCCTGCCACGTGTGTGTTTGTGTATCATAATTACCTTGACAGTAATATTCTTCAGTAACTTTAAAAGGAAAGCATACTAATGGCAAAATAATTCTTTACCAATGGTACTTAGCAAGTAATGATTAATGCATAATATTCTCATATAACATGTGTTTGTGCTTATAAATGTTTTAAGAAATGCATATGGCTTTTTTGCACTCTGACCACACTGTTACACACTCTGACTACACTGTTACTATGATATCTTCTGTGAAATGCAAAAAGAGTCACACAACAGAGACACTACCTACCTTCTGTGTAGTAATACTGCCTGTGTTCCAATAAGTTGATGCTTTTGTTTTAACTAACTTATTTGAAGAGAAATAAGTTTTTATAGTAGTGCACATAATTTTTTACCAACAAAGTGTGATGTTTCCAGTATTTATGTTAAGTAAGCACTAAGAAATGGAATGCTTTTCCTTTCCATTTTCTTGTTCCTTCAAGAGAGTATGTGTTGCCTTCACTTGGTGCTCTAACACTGCCCCTCTGGAAAGTGTAGAGGGGTGGGCATAGAAGGGCAAGGGGTAGATAACGAAAAAGATGGGAAATTGTGAGGTAAGAATTGCCAGTGTTTGTTATTGTCCTTGTTGTCAGGGTTAACTTTGGAATATGATCGTACTAATAAGATTAGCTGAAATTAAAGAGACTATAAATTTCAGACTTAATACTAAACACACTAAACTGTTTTGCCATTTAAATCATTCATTTGCAGAAGTAACTTGTATGCTTTATGATGAAGATTTTTTAATTAAATATTAATTCTTATCTCTTAAAGAAAAAATAAAATTGGGGCTAAGAAAGTGACTTCTAATTTTAAAAGGGTAATTAGTGACAATACGTTTTTCTGAATTTCAAAAGAAGGTGACCAAGGGGATTATTGTTTTCAGATCTGCACAGCAATTTAAAACTGTTTTGACTTTTCTCAGAGTAAGTCATGAGGTTTGACACATGGTCCAAAGCTGGTGTACGGAAGCAGCATATTTAAAAGTCAAGATGTTAAACCAAACTTGGATTTAAATTTAAGTCAACTGTTTAATACTTCTGTGCCTTAAATTCTAAATAATTAAGTACTTTTGGTTTTTCCCTTCCTAATCTACCCTCTTCCCTTCCTCCCCTTCTAGGCATGGAGAGTAGAAAACTGATTTCTGCTACAGACATTCAATACTCTGGCAGTCTGCTGAACTCCTTGAATGAACAGCGTGGCCATGGACTCTTCTGTGACGTTACTGTTATTGTGGAAGACCGAAAATTCCGGGCCCATAGGAACATTCTTTCAGCTTCAAGTACATACTTCCATCAGCTCTTCTCAGTTGCTGGGCAAGTTGTTGAACTGAGCTTTATAAGAGCAGAGATTTTTGCAGAAATTCTGAATTATATCTATAGTTCTAAAATTGTCCGTGTTAGAGCAGATTTACTTGACGAGTTGATTAAATCGGGGCAATTACTAGGAGTGAAATTTATAGCAGAGCTTGGTGTCCCACTGTCACAGGTTAAAAGCATATCAGCACAAGATGGTACTGCTGAGACCTTACCTCCTGATTCTAGTGACAAAAACATTGACATACAAAAATCAAAGGATGAAGCCCAAGATACTGGGGCTACTGTGATGCCCATTATAACAGAGTCTTTTTCATTATCTGCTGAAGATTATGAAATGAAAAAGATCATTGTTACTGATTCTGATGATGATGATGATGATGATGTCATTTTCTGCTCTGAGATTTTGCCTGCAAAGGAGAATTTGCCAAGTAACAACACGATGACACAGGTCCAGCCTAATCCAGCCCCTGTTGCTATTTCAGAAGTGACACCTTGTGCTAGCAATAACTCCCCCCCTTTAACAAACATCACACCTGCTCAGACGCTTCCCACTCCTGTAAATCAGGCAGCTCTTAGCCAGACACAAGGAGGTGAAGAATTGCTGGTGTCTTCAGCTTCAACACATCTGACTCCTAACATTATCTTATTAAATCAGGCTCCACTTACTACACCACCCAGTGTCAGTTCTTCACTTCCAAATCATATGTCCTCTTCAATCAATTTACTTGTACAGAATCAGCAGACACCAAACAATGCTGTTTTAACAGGAAACAAGGCCAATGAAGAGGAAGAGGAAGAAATTATAGATGATGATGATGTCACCATCAGCTCCAGTCCAGACTCAGCAGTCAGTAATACATCTTTGGTCCCACAGGCTGATACCTCCAAAAGTACCACTTTTGATGGTTCATTGACACAGAAGATGCAAACTCCTGTACTTCTTCAAGAGCCACCTTCCAATTCTTTAAAGATTTCAGATGTAATTACTAGAAACACTAATGATCCAGGTTTAGGATCAAAGCATCTAATGGAGGGTCAGAAGATCATTACTTTAGATACAGCTACTGAAATTGAAGGCTTATCAACTGGTTGCAAGGTTTATGCAAATATCGGTGAAGATACCTATGACATAGTGATCCCTGTCAAAGATGACCCTGATGAAGGAGAGGCCAAACTTGAGAATGAGCTACCAAAAACATCTGGCAGTGAGCCATCAAACAAGCGTATGAAAGTAAAACATGATGATCACTATGAGTTAATAGTAGATGGAAGGGTCTATTATATCTGCATTGTATGCAAAAGGTCATATGTCTGTCTGACAAGCTTGCGAAGACATTTTAATATTCATTCTTGGGAGAAGAAGTATCCATGCCGTTACTGTGAGAAGGTATTTCCTCTTGCAGAATATCGCACAAAGCATGAAATTCATCACACAGGGGAGCGAAGGTATCAGTGTTTAGCATGTGGAAAGTCTTTCATCAACTATCAGTTTATGTCTTCACACATAAAGTCAGTTCATAGTCAAGATCCTTCTGGGGACTCAAAGCTTTATCGCTTACATCCATGCAAGTCTTTACAGATCAGACAGTATGCATATCTTTCTGATAAATCAAGTGCTATGCCTGTCATGAAGGCTGATGCTATTGGGTATAAGGTTGATGCTGGAAAAGAGCCTCCAGTGGGGACCACATCTACTCCTCAAAACAAGCCAATGAACTGGGAAGATATTTTTATTCAAAGGGAAAATGATTCCATTTTTAAACAGAATGTAACAGATGGCAGTACTGAGTTTGAATTTATAATACCAGAATCTTACTGAACTCTTTTGAAATATCAGAAAGGGTTAGATTAAGGGGCAGGGATTTCAGAAGACCTGTGAAACAAATTAAGGTGAAAACATGTGTTAATTTGATCTGCCATGTCATCTGAAAGTAGTCTAGTTGCATTGTTAATTTTTAGAAGCAATTTTTTTCTAAAAGTTTTGAGTAGAGATTGAACAACCCCTGAAGTATCTGTATAGTTTAGCTTTCAGCTCATTTAAAAGACGTGACTTTTTAAAGGTACACAGAGTTTTCTGAATAGAATTTGAAGCCATCTAAAGGTTCTTTGAGAATTATTGAAGTTACTAATATACCCTGGTATAGCTTACACTGTTCCCCCTTCCATGTTAGCACTTTACTGCTGAATTTTCAATTTTCTTCATGTTAAGCCTAAGTGTGTTGTGTCTTGTATACAGCATAAAAGGTAAGGAACTTCCAAAACTTGTTGTAGTAAATTTCAGAGTAAGTCCTAACTTGGTGATTTGTTCTGTCAGGTCCAAATGGGGATCAGCCTCCTGCCTCCCACCCACTATAAAATAGCCATGCAAACAGGTCTATCCTATGAAGAATGAGTTAGTTCTAGCCAATTGGGATCAACCATCGCTTTCATTGCCGTAGTCTTTAAGAGATTTTGATGGCAAGGCCACTGTATACCTTTAAAATAACCCTGAGCAAAATGAAAATGAGCTAGCAGGCATGCATGTAGTGCAAACAGGAGGTAATGCAAAGTTCTTTTTTTTTTGCTTATCTTTAATCTTCTGCCTTTATATGGAGATTTTTGTTAATTATGGTTTAAAAAATGTTCCCACAAAATGTTGTGAATTTACTATGTGAAAGCCACCAAATGCATCTTTATATATAGTGCTAGTAAATGTTGAGATTCCGTACATGAGACTTGTGTGTTTTGGGTGGGAGGCTCCTGACATACATTTTTAAAAGCTCACGTTAGAATCTCCAGTAGAAAGTTTTCATTTTAGGTAGTTTTAATGGCAATCTAACATTGTCCTTTCAACAAGGTCTTTTGGGGTTTTTTTTAACCCCTTAAAATAAGTTCTGATCTATGTGCAAACTGCTGTTATATTATAGCAGAAACTACATGTGGAATACTGCAGGCATGTCGGTTCCTGTTTATTTTGACAACAATATCACCTTTCTTCCTTTTAAGATGGCACATATTTAAATACTTAGAATTTAAAACTTACCAAGAGTAGGAATAAAAGGAAGCAGGTTGGAACAGATATATAGCTTAGCATTTATAACAGATTTAACACAATTCTGTAAAAATTTAACCTAATTTTTTTGCAATGGAAAAAATAATAGATACTGAAAATGGTTGTATTGCATAGTTATTAGTCATTTGTGACATTGCTTATATTTCTTAGTTCAGCATAGGTATTTTCATTCTCCTTACAGTGTATTTTTATCTGTTTCTTGACTTTGAACTTAAAGCTTTAATCATAATTTTTTATGCATAGGTCATTCTTCTGGTGGTAACTAGGTGTGAAGATAAAAGTTTAAGTGTTTCTTAAGTTGGTAGCTGAGGGTATGAAGAATCAGTGTTTGCAATAAGACAAAGAAGAAGGATAGCCCCCACTTACAGAGTAGTAGAGTGCTATACATTTATGTTTTCTGTTTCATAATCTTAGGCCTTCAAACCATTTTCATAAACTAAATCTTAGAAAACTGAAAATCACCTTGTAACTCTAGACTCTGATCTCTGTGATCATGGTATCTATTTCCTTTCTCTGTAGATATTGATGTTACTGCTTTTTGAATATAGGGTATGCTTAAAAATATTCCCCGTTGAAATTTGAGTTTCATGAATTCAGTTTCAGCAGTTAGATATAATTACTTCTACCTGTGTGAGCGACAGTGATGTTTCAGTCTCAGCTGCTAAGTAAATTAGTTTGCTATGATAAAACTTGCTAGTTCCTACAAACCTATTATGGTTTTTTGTTTTATTTTGTTTTTGTTTTTGTTTTTGTTTTTTTCGAGACAGGGTTTCTCTGTATAGCTTTGGAACTTGTCCTGGAACTCACTCTGTAGATCAGGCTGGCCTTGAACTCACAGGGACCCACATGCCTCTGCCTCTTGAGTGCTGGGATTAAAGGCGTGCACCACCACCACCCAGCTCCCTACAATCTTGTTATAACAAACTAGGAATAATGAAAAACTGTCCGTTCTGAATAACATTGGTAAAATTATTTGCCACTGCTGCTGTACTCTAAATTTTGAATAAGAACTTAGAAATGTCGTGCCTACTGAACGTAGCTTCTGGAGTTTGCAGGGAGGAGGAGATCTAGAAAGTTCAATTGTAATTTTGCCAAGAAGACTCTTACACGTGTTTGGGGGTCTTTGGGGTTTTTTTTTTTTAAAGTTTTCATGTCAAAAGTTCAGAGTTTTGTGGGGTCCACCTGCCTCTGACTCCCTAGTACTGGGATTAAAGGCATGGACCACCACTGCCTGGCTCACAGTTCAGAGTCTTTGTGGAATACTCCTTTGGACAAAAACTCTTTACTCTTAGGCATTATTGGATTAGAAATTTGTAGCAAGATGCTATTTAAAACCTACTGTGAAGATTTTCTATTTTTTTTTACTTCTGACTACTGAATTTCCTATTTTTCTTTCAAGTTGCCTTCAGTTTTGCTCAAATACTAAATTACCTATAGCTATTCTGGATAGAATCTGTTTGAAATAGTAACTTCGTTGAAAGAATCAAACTTTTGAAAGTTGGTAGCAGTCTTGCAAGATTAACTAAGATATCTGGTTATCATTTTTGTGGTGACTATCTTCCATAGAGTCACTGAAGAATTTGTTCCTAAAATAAGTGAACACTGATCTAGGCATTTAAAAGTATCATCATGGTATGTGTATTCTGAGGAATTAATGCAAATTCAACAGCACTGGCTTCCTTACCTCTGTTAGGCATATGAAACCTTGTTCATTTCCCCTCATACTACAATGTTCATATTTGTACAATCTTCCTTATCATGACTTAAGTTCTGCTTTTCATTAACCACACTTGATACCAGTTCATAGAGTTTCTTAGAATGAAATAAAGTGTATTCGTTCTAATTTCTGAGTGTGTTTTTTACAAGATTATTGTGAATGAATTCCATAGGCTTTCTATCCTATTGTTTTTCTGGGTTCTGTTTGTTTCTTCATAGCAGGAGAGAAGCTGTCCTTCTGATGACAGCATGGCAGAAATTGTCATTAGGTTTTGTGTATTGGTTAAGCATGTCCCATTGTTTCTTGAACCATCACAGTCAAAAGTGAGCTGCCATTGCCAGTCGTTTTAGCGGATCCACTGTACTTTTGTACATAACATGAGAATGCCTGTAAGTAGCTAGGGAGGAGAATAGTTTTATTAATTTGAAACATCACAAAAGCCGTCTGGGTTTCCAACATGGCAGTGATACAGATTTTAAGCAATATCTAGTTTATACAGGTTCTGAATTAATATTTTAATACTTCATGCCCAGTTCAATACTTTAAAGCAGAATTAGGAAGAAAGCAGTAAATGTTATAAAATGCAGTCAAGATACATTGGAAATACAAATTCCGTCATTACAGCAAATGTTTTGCAGAATAGTGAAGCAGCAAATATTAATCTTTCCTAAAGTAAGATGCAGTTTATATAATTCAATGTAATAAAAAAAGCTGCTCAAATTAAGTGTTACAAAATCTATACTGTTTCAAGTTATTTTGTAAAGTAAGAAAAATACATAGAAATGAGTCATAGAATCTTAATAGTTTAAGAAATGTGATCATTGAAGATATACTTTGTAATGGTGCCTTTAAAAATATACACATTCACTAAAGCAAGGGGTAAAGTGTAAATGACAAAAAAATACTGTTAGATAGTAGAAGGTGGTATTTGTATAAGAAGTCAATTGGTTATTAGTCCTTTTTTGAAATCCAATAGAATGGTATTATGTTCAAAACTAAAACTAACCGTAATTTTCTGTAACATAAAAGGGTTGTGGTCTTTTGGATTGGAAATCTGGCTAGGACAATCTGACACCGAAGGTTAAACTGAATATTTTGCCGACATTTCCTGTGAACAGTGAGTGCACTTGTTGTGCCCTGATTCTTGAGACCAGGTGTCTACAAGGTAGATGGGAGCACCAGCATTTGTCTGCTGCCTCTAACCGTCAAAGATGGGAGGCAGCGAAATGGGCTGGAAGTGTTTCCAGTGTGGGTTCTGTTTGCACAACTGTCTAATTAGGGATCCTCTGTAGCGCCTGTACTTTTACATAATACAAGTGTAGGATTATCAATCTTCCTTTAAACCAGTTCTCAGGTTAAAATAAAATCCCAGTGAACGTGTTCATGCAGAGTGAGGGCATGGGTGCCAAAGTGTTTTTAACTCAACAGCTTGAAGGTTTAAAGCTCTGTATAATTAAAACAACTGTATAACTATCACAATGTGCCAGATGGATTTTAAATGCGTAACACTTAAGAATTTGTCAAGTTGGCTACATTTGAGGTCTTGAAGACTTGAAATGACATTGTAACACTTTCATAATCTTGAATTGAATGCTGTCACAATTGATATCAACGGGGGATAAAAGGACCAATAAGCGCAGTGGCATTAAAATACAGATGAGTTTTCAGGGGTGGGGTGCAGGATCGTGCGGTTTGCTGGGGTTAAAGCACAATATCCAAAGATTAAATAGTCACAAAGATAAGTAACAATTCATATCACGACCCAATCTAATCTAGCATTTTAAACTCTGAATTTCAACTGTAAGATTTTTATCTCCAGTAACAAATGTGTTTTGTAATAATGCAACATATAATAGAAACACTGTCTCCTAAGTTGTCAGATGTATACCAAGATCTACTGAAAACAGCACAGGCTTGCTCTGTATTTCAGTGCTTCTGGATCAGCCATTCCTGTTCTCCCACCACTCAAGATGAGGGACTATTGCCCTTTTCCCCTTAGGAGGTACCAGTAACAAAAGCTGAGCTGAATGATCACAACAGCCATTTTTTACAAGACTCAAAGAAGAACAGAGTAAGATATGGGCAGCTTTTTTTCAATATCCAGACATGAGCAAACAAAAATCTTAGCCAGAATTTTACTTAGTACAACTACTTCCCTTCTTGAAAGTACTGGGTTTGGCCTAGCCAATCCTCCCCTTCCCTGATAATGAATAAGCTTCATCCCTATCTTTCCCTAGCTTGGCAAGCTGTTGTAAAAACTTTATGCGTAAGAGTCACACTTTAGATGTTGTGCCCTACACACTTCCACTAAAGCAGAAATACAAAAGCCACAATAATCTCAATAGCCGACAGTTGTTCCTCTTTAAGGACTGTAAGGTGGTGGCTTTTCAAAAGGTGGATAGTAGGGTGGAGAATAACGGGGCGGTGCGCTGGAGGACCACATGTAGCTGGGCGAAGGAGAGGCAGACTGGGCCTCCGGCTCATCAGAGAGTCCAGAGGGAGGGGAGGATGGGAAGACACTGGAATGCTGCGTAATGAAGAAAAAAAACAGCAGCTTAGGCGGTGAATTTGCAATTCCTTCAACAGACTTTAAAATGAGTATAGGCCAAATCTCTTTCTGTTTAGAAGAATTGTTAAATCTTATGGTGTCAGTAAGGGACATGACAGCTCTGCATCAGGTCACTCAGGCTGCAAACTTCATGTGGAAAGTTTTGGGGATCCTCCTTTTCCCCCTTGACCTCTACATCTAGACAGTTATTCAATCCTGCTGCTTCTGCTGTGTGGTTTCTTGAAGACCTCACTCCTTTTTCTGCATGTGTCACTCAAACCATCAGTACTCTCTCCTAACCTATGCTCAAAGCATTACAACTAGTCTTTCAAAAAGTCTGTGGCTTAAGGATGTTTAATGAGGTTAAGTAATTGATCCCTAGGAAAACCTTCTGTAGGAATATATCATTAGGAAGTCCAGGGCTCAGGGGCCCATGTCACAGACTAAAACTGAGGTTAGACAAATCATTTGGCTTGCTTGGCTCTCAAGTTGTGAAGTCCTGTTCCATATGAATTACCATCCATTTTATTACCCACAAACTCACTATAGATGGGAAAGCAATGATTAACAAAGGCATGGGGGTGAGAAAACCAATGATAAGAATGAGGAGTAGTATGTCAGTTTGCAGAGACTGGGGCTTCAATTTTCCCTTATTTGTTGTCTAACTTTGGGAAAGGAGCAGATGTGGATTTTTAAAATTAACCTGGTGAGACAGGAAAATTATAATATTAAGCAAAAATTAAAAATATAATATTAAGCAAGGTGTCCCAAACTCAGAAAGACAAAAACCTCATACTCTCTCTCATATGTGGATACTAACCTGTAAAGAATATGGGGGTGGGAGGGAAGTGTGGGTAAAGCATGAAAAATAGGAGACCAAGAGAGAACAAAAATAGGCGACAAAGAAGGATGCGAGTGAAGACAGAAAGACACATAGAACATGAAAAAGGAAAGAGATGGGGACGAAAGGGGGCATCAGAGATAGCAGGGCTGAGGACTTGAGAGGAGGAGAATTGCTAAAACACATTTTGTTTGAAAATGCCATAGTATCTGATGCCTAATATGCTGATTTAATATCTCTTAAATTTCGCCGGGCGGTGGTGGCGCACGCCTTTAATCCCAGCACTTGGGTGGCAGAGCCAGGCGGATCTCTGTGAGTTTGAGGCCAGTCTGGGCTACCAAGTGAGTCCCAGGAAAGGCACAAAGCTACACAGAGAAACCCTGTCTCAAAAAACAAAAACAAACAAACAAACAATATCTCTTAAATTTCCAAGGAAAAATGTGGGGCAGATTAGCCAAGGGTATTTTGCCCATGTCTCTTCCTGTGTCTTCCCATGTAATTCGCTCTCAAGGGAACTGACTTCTGAAGGGAGGGGCATGGTACAGCTAGCTGTCAACAGGTCCAGTGTGGAGCCCTGGTTCCACGAGTTCAGTCAGAAGTTTGCCTGTCACTGAGCAAGAGATCTCGCTCAGCACAGTTAATGAATCTGTTTATGCCCATTGTTTTGTCTTTAGTTGAGATTTGATATGTGATGAGATGAGTGAGCATTAGCTAAGCAAGGAAACAGTCCTCATCACATAGTAAAAACTCAGTATTTAGAAATATATTAAAATAACCAGTGAATTGCCATAATAAGAATCACTTGTCTCCCTCTTCCCTGGCCTAATGACCACCCATAACCCTAGTAGTTTTCCTGCTCAGAGAAAGTTGATCTTTTTCTTTTTTTCACTTTTCTATTTCCCAGAGCTCAGAACAGTGCTTAGGAAATAGTAAATGCTCAATAAATCTTGAATGAATGACTGTTACTTCAAGAGAATATATTAGGTAACCTTAGCATGCCTTTTAAAACTACAATCCATTTTCAGAGTCTACAGTCATTCTAGAGCAAGGCTAAGATGAGATCTGACATATGGAGAGAACTACAAGGACAGTAAGAATTAGGAAACAAATTCAGGGTCTCAGAACAAAGCTAGTCAGCACACAGAATAGGAGGACTATAGGTATTCTAGTGTATCTGGGCTCCATGAGGATCTGGGTTTTTTAGAGCCACTTACACTAAATTTTCTCAAGAGCTCAAGTGCTATTTCAACATGGAGGTGGGTGGAAGGGGGTCACATCTTTACTTGGTCCAGCCAGAGTTGGAGTAGATCACATCATTTTTCCATGCTTGTAGCAATCTTGGGCCAGCCCTGGCATGAGGCTTCCAAAGCATGAGACAAATTGGCAGAGTCTCATCCCCACACTAGACCTCTATACTCCTGGGAGAGCAATGTCTAGATGTCAAGGTCCTGTATGAGACAGTGAAATACCTGCATTGCATCATATTAGGAGTAAGGAGAGGGTAGCCATCCTCTTCCTTTTCTACCCGGTCACTTTTCTGAGCTTAAGAATGACTGGGTCACAGAACTTAGAGGACCTTTAAAGACAACACAACTTGAGAGTGGACCCGAGAAAAGCAAGATGTCTTCCTAAGTCTAAACTGCCACCTCGCTCCAAGAAGATATCCTTTATTAAAATGGTCCAGTTGTGCGTTATTTAATAACAGGGCTGTGTTCTAAAGGAAAAAAAAAACACACT